CGTATATTAACATCAAACTTGTAAATTATATCTCCTCTCCCTCATATGTTCTTCTAATAGAACCACTATAATTGATACGTTTCACCAATTTGTTTTAAATATCTGAGTCTGCGTAATCCAAATGTTGCACGTCGTAACTACTTTGCGTGAAGTCATATGCTGCATTAAAAGATGTGAAAATCAACCAGTTAGAAGATACATATAACACCAAGTAAATGCAAGCAATTCTATACTCATTAATAGCTTCAGTATGGATTTGATTAAAGCTGCTGGATATTCATAATTAATTATCTTTTATTTTAACTTCTAACATTTAAATTATCCGTAGTATGCCTAGTAATCTTTCAAAAGAATATCACATTTCCCTAAAAGTCACAGTTTGCATTTATAAAGCATAATTTCACACTCGTGGGTTGAGTGACATTGAATATTAGGCTGATAACACTGCATTGTATAAATTAATTGACAAACAAACTGATTGATATACTGGAGGGACTTATTTGCATATAGATTGAGGTCAGATTATTGCTACGGTAATATTCATACTCGAACTTACTTGGTTAGTTTGTCATTTGTGTATGTAATGTATCTTATAATGTATCTAACTACCTTCTAAATGTATCTAATGTATCTTAATTTTAATCTAGCTTGGTTAGAAGGTGTACAGTTTTTGTTGTGGGTGTAGATGCAAGCCAATCTAATGCACCCTCCTCTGGTTCCTATACTTTTACATGCGGCATAAAAAAAAGATAATAGTGCACAGCCAGATAGAAACTTTAAATAAATGTATTTTTTATTTGTTGAAGTTTATATTTCAATTAATCTAAGTAGTTGAGTGCGTTTAGCACTCTCCTAATAATCAGAAGGGTTCCGTTTCGATCCCTGAAAAAGTCAAAATCTCGAAATAGGCCAAACTGCTCTGAATCATTGGAAAACCAACTGATCTTGTTCAGTAACAAAGCTTTAATTTCATTCATTCAACCACCATCTTTGCATTAAACTAAAAATCCTAATGTTACGGCATCGTAGAAATGCAATCAAATTCAATTACTAAAATTAATTGTACTTATATTATTTGTACATTAATGTGTAATGTTTTTGTCCAAGGATGCTAGGAATGAGCCGAAATTCTTTTCACATTACTCCAGGATAGACCTAGGGGTTGCGGAACTATCACTTAGATAAAATCCATTGGTGAGTTGGCAGAATTTGAACCAGGGGCCTCAGGGACCTAAGTCCCACGCTATAACCACGAGACCAGCTTGCTCCCCCCGTTAATTTCTAATGAAGCATTTTAGAATTTAATTACATATGGATGGCAGAAGACTAATTATTAAATAAGAATACTTATAGTTTAAATGTTCTAGTTAGCTTTATTAACTTATGAAAAGATAAGCAATGGCAGGATGCGTTGTTCCATCTGTGCTGAACCTCAGCAAGATTTATGGTTCGGTAGATGTCAGCAGTTTGTCATGATAGACTTTAACACGATCTGTGACTAATAGCTTTGTGTGAGGAGAACAGTGATTAGATCATGTTTTCATCGAGGATTAACGTTATATAAACTGATTTTGTGTTCTAGTTAACAAATCAGAACAATATCTCAACTACATAAATGTTGTAAGCCCATGAATAATATCTTCTAAATTATTTACCCTACATCAACAATAGGTGTTTTATTAGTTTACCACTTCTATACTAAGGTTATAAGATATTTTGGAGGTTTCAAGCTGGATAGTAACTATAGTAGGTAGGCCTATAGTAACTGATCGTTCCCTCATTACGTTTTCCTGGCTAATAAGATGTTTTTAGTAATTCTCAAAGTTTGAAAAATCATATTATTCCACAGTACCTGGGGACCGAGCTTTGCTCGGAGAAAATCATTAGTTCACTCTGAAAGCAGTCTTAGTTTCGGAGATACATAAATCTGTTCCCAAACTCCACACGGCTCGCCTTTACAACGTCCTACACCATTTCCTACGTCATGGACCTGTTTCCCTCCATTCCCATAGCACTTTAAGATTGTAGATACCTTAATCTAATCGTTATTAACAGTTCCCATACTCCGGACAGCTCGCCTTGACTACTTCCTTCACCACTTCCAACGTAGTGGACCTGTTTTTCTCCCTTCCCATAGCATTTCAGAATTGCAGATACGTTAATCTAATCGTCATAAACAGTTCCCACGCTCCATACTAATTGCCTTTACTACTTCCTTCACCACTTCCTACGTCGCAAACATGTTTCCCTCCCTTCCCATTGCATTTAAAGATTGCAGATACATTAATCTAATCGTCATAAACAGTTCCCACACTCCGGACAACTCCCCTTGCCTACTTCCGTCACCACTTCCTACGTCGCGGACCTGTTTCCCTCCCTTCCCATAGCATTTTAGGATAGCCCATACCCTTATCTAATCGTCATAAACAGTTCCCACACTCCGGACAGCTCGCCTTGACTACTTCCTTCACCACTTCCTACGTCACGGACCTGTTTCCCTCCCTTCCCATAGCATTTTAGGATTGCAGATACCCTAATCTTATCGTCATAAACAGTCCCCACACTCCGGACTGCTCGCATTTACTACTTCCTTCATCAGTTCCTACGTCACGGACCTGTTTCCCTCTATTCCCATAGCATTTTATGATTGCCTTTACTACTTCCTTCACTACTTCCTACGTCACGGACCTGTTTCCTTCCCTTCCCATAGCATTTTAGGATTGCAGATACCTTAATGTATTCGTCATAAACAGATCCTAGACTTCGCACTGCTACCCTTGACTACAATGTCTCGAGTAATCTTAAGTATAATCTTTGCTCAATATTAACAAGTAATGTTTTTCCTTTTGTACTGTATTTGTAATTTGCTAGTATACTGTGGGTAGTTGGTTTATTATGAACACGTGCTACAACTTCAAGTCTTTTGTTTACTTTTTCCTTGTTATTTAATTCAACCAACATGGTTACTTAGCAACCCATAAGACTAATGTTAAAAAAATGTGACTTTCAGTTTCGTTTTTCTACGTAATTAGATTTTTGTTGGCAGTTCTAACTGCATGAAACTTGTTTTTAGGCCAAAAATAAACTATTTACAAGATTTGAAGAAAATCGTCGGAGCCGTTTTCGAGATCTTTCTGCAAGCAAGCAAGCAAGCAAGCATACATACAAGCAAACATTGCTCGTATTAGAGTATAGGATTCATTTTCATTTGTATTCCCATCTATCACCATCAACTCATGTTTATCAGTGGTGAGTCGGTGGCTCAGTCGGTAGCGTCATTGACTTCGGGTCCGTCGTGGGTTCGGATCCTCGTCCCTGTTGCAAAGAATTGGCCACCTTCATACTGTACCGGCTCACCGGCTGACTTTGCTAGCTACGTTCCACGCACTGGCAAATAGTCAATGTGGACGAGCAAATGCAAGCTAGAAGAGGCCGCCAATCTCTTAAAAACCCATACCTTGACTATTCCAATAAATCCCTTGATTTTAACTATAAGATAACTTATTTATGTACCTTAAACTATTCAGAAACACAAAAGAAATCACACAGTCCTCGGAAATAAAATATATTACAAAAGTTCTGTCTTTATCTAATAAACATTTCAGGGTTGTACATAATCCTGAAAGGAAACAAAACAAACGCAATGCCTTTAGAACCACATTTAAGATTTTCAAATTTAAATTTTAACTCCTACCATATTTTATTCATAAAGTGACAATAAAAGAAAAAAAATAATAAAAAGTGTTTAGATATTCGAAGGCTAATTATAAAAGGGAGTAAATGTTGCAAATACATTGTTCTACATAATAATGATAATGTCATTACATTTTATGTTATAAAGAAACATTACGGTTAAATAATCTCATGAACATCTCCCTCAACGTTATTTTCTTGTCACTGAATTTCCCGCTCAGAGGTATATTTTCCCGCTCAAAGAACTTAATCTTGTTGAGGCTCCAGTGAGGTAATTCGTCTTTGTGTTCCCACACAGCAATTGTAATCTTTGTACCTCTAATCAAATCAGTCTTCTATTATGCTAGTTCTGGAAACCTGGATTTTTATATGAAAAATATTTTTACAAAAGTATATTCTCATCAATAAGAATGATAAATCTTAATGTGAGTGTGTAAAATCCATTACCTATTCTAAAGATATATTGCATTTGTCCGGACTACAAGTCCAAGTTCATTAATGGGAATGGGTTACCAATATCGATCAAATAATCGATTTAACTCATTAAATTAATCGAAATTGCTTAATACCGGTGTATAAATTGCTATCATAGGCCTTGCAATCCCCTTGGTGCGTTGTCATAACGCAATGTAGTTAAACTTTAGTTTTATTCTAGGAATATCCACCAAATATGCGAATTGGTTTTGGTATTGATGTTATAGTAGATACAAATTTTTAATTGTTTACTCTACCAATATTAAAACTATCTTAGCCACATATAACACTGTAATGTTTCTAAGCTATGTCTTGTTCGTTCTATTATAAACCCAAAAAATTAAACACAGAATGAGATCACTAAGACTAAAATAAGAGGAAAATATCTAGTTGTGCTCAGCGCACTTAAACGTTACCAACATGAAACAGACATCAAAAATGCTAAAGAATTTACAGCAAGATGATCCGCTTCTACTATTTAAAGTCATTGCTTGATGACAGAAATTTTGTAATTCAATAAATTGATCTAAAGATGCTGTTATTAAGAAAACCGATATGTCCCGTACTTCTTAAATTTCCATCAAAGGTCATAGACTAATGTAAATTCATCCTTAAGAATAGTAACAAAATATACTAAATATTTCAATGAATATTTCTGTTAGCAGCTTTAAGTGTAGCTTTACCCGATGAAAACCTTAAGAACATTCAAAATAATGTAACACTAATTATTATATGTTTTATTATGTCCTACTGAAACGTTACAGTAACCTGTTAATTTGTTAATCTGGCTTAATAAAGGACTTTGACTTTAACCGCAATATTTTATATTCCAGGCCGGGGGAGCTGAAGACGAGATTGTGGCAGATCCTGAACCAGACATTCCTTCTAACTCCAAAGACAGGTAAGGAGTCAAACAATTTTGTGAAGTATTAGTCATTAAAGCAGTGAAAAGTTGCGCAGTTGGCAAGAAGCAAAGAATATTACTACCATGCAAGTGGTATTGGTTCAATATTGTGATTGACACCTATATCGTTTGATTAGCCACAAGTTTTTAATTTTTGACTTGGTCACGATTTCGTGTAAGCCCACTACAGTTATGGGCAAACAATGTTTATAGTTTCGGGAATTTCTTGTTTTTAAATAAATATTTTATTAGTTGGGTTAAGTTAACCTTTAGAAGAACATATTTTTGCCCATATTTCTTATACAAAAAACTAATATGATCCCTTATTTTTTCGTAATCCCGCTATAGTTAACCACTGTTATTGAGATGTATTGAGTCTTCCATCAATAAATCAATAAATCATACGTATTTATTAAGTTAAGCAACTGAAAAAACCTCGTAAATAGGATATAAAAGAGGGCATTCCTACATGGATACCAGCAAATAAAAAATAAATAGACTTACATACTGTATTTGCCTAATTCACATTAACCTTTGCCATTCTACATAAACAAAACTTGGTTCTATATTCGACATTGAGTTCTTCGAGAACACGATGTGAGTAAGCAATGATATTTTATAGTAGTTCCATTGCTATAAAACGTGACAATATAGCTTAAATGAAAATATTTGTATTCTTGCAAATTTTAGGATCTTTAAAAACGTACCTAAAATGACAGAAAGGTTTAGGAATAAAATTGATTACAACTGAAAGTAATAAATTGAGAACCCCACTTTAATCAACCACAAGAACTTTAATATTAATGGTTAGTTGAAGCCCATCATAGTTACTGAACACAATAACCACAGTAACCCACAGCAGTGCAAGTCTAATTGAGCACCAGGCCAAGGTAACCCCTGGCTGATTGCTTGTCAAACCTATCAGCTGGGTTTATACCGCAGAAATTGATTACTTTACGTTTGAAATATCCTTAGATCTTTACGCGTTTTATCGGAATTACAAGCTTTGTAATATTTAGTAATATAATCATATATGTTAAGGCGAGGACTTCAAGTTATGAGAGGGAGAGGGTTGAAAACTCTCTATTATTGACATCTTAAAAAACGTTGAACGTGAAACAGCGTTTAGCCAATTCAGCTAGACAATAATACCTCTTATACAAGAAACATCTACAAATTGCAGGTTTTCTACAGCTGTTCCAATTTTGTATTTTATTAAAATTATTCAGTGCATCACACAATACACTGAATTAAAGCTGGTGAGTCGGTGGCTCAGTCGGTAGCGTCGCGGTCACTGCCACTAAAATTGATCAGTACAGATCACCTTTGTACTGTACCGGCTCACTCCTTGCTTTGCTGTAAACGATCCACGCACGGGCGCTTAGTCTATGTGGACGGGCCCGCAAGGTTAAAATGCAAGGTTAAAAGAGGCCACCAACCTCTTAAAAAAAAAAAAAAAAAAAAAAAAAAATACAGTAAACGGTGAAACGTCACGTTCAATCAACACAAGAAAAACTTATTGGATTAAGCTCCTCCAAATCCGTCCATCGATAAAGTAAGGCGACCACCTCCCCAAAGTTATCCAAGCCATTAATCTCTTTTGGGCCTGTTTACGGAATGATTACTTGGTATTGCTCAATATTGTTCGGTATTGCTCAATATAGCCTGGCAAGATTGGATTTACTAACTTGGTGTAACAAGACCGTCAGATGTTGCAAAAATCCTTGAGCACTGTTTAATATTGTTTCTTGCTTGTACATTTACAATTTTTCTAGAATAGGAACAGTTGCATTCGAAAATTGTTGGTATGATTGAGATTTCATTCAAACACTATGTGTTTTACAGTAATTGTAGTAGTGGTTCAGAAAATAAGCTATTGCGTCTCTGTGAGAATTATTCCCAATTAAAAATCTTTTAGTGTAGTGATTAGTGAAAATATAGAGATAATATTCAGGTTTGACTACCTTTTTAAACCTGCATATTCCGTACTGTATCTGTTGGAGTTTATGTTTGCCTATTATTTAAATAGTTCAACGTGTACTATTGTAGATACTGGAAACCATTGTTATCACAATACCTCATTTAACTTACCTTTTGAGCTATTTTCATATCTTAAAAGTAGCATAATAATTTATATTCATAGTTAAAATGCATACTACAAAAGTATTATTTCGTACATCTAACTCCACTTAATTTCCCTTGACTACAACATGACTAAATATTGTGTACTATTGTTACAAGAACATATTGAAATACCGTACATTGTGCTGCACTGTCGTATTGGTTTAATTAGTAGCGGCTGTAGGAAGATATTATTTATTTGAATTATCTTGCTTCTCGTACCAGTAATTGCACCATAATCTAATTAATTCTTTTTCCATCGTGATAAACTTATAAAAAGTATTTTATCACACATATTGGCGAGGTCCAGAGTGTATTATGAACGGGGTTTAAAACTTTCCTCATTTCGCCATGTTTGCATGTTCTCATGCAGACCTAATCTGTTTACTAAAGTTCAATAAAAATATTCCTTTGTAATGGTTTTGTAGACCCACTCTTGCACTGTGCATTATTTTTACAAAAAAAATTTAGAGCCTTATATTACTTGGCATATATTCCAATTATTTTTCTTCTACTACATTGTATTTCATTACATTTTACGTTGCATGAAAAACAGTTAGGCCTAAAGTCTTCTTCTGTCTTATTGAAAGAATTCACTATTTGATTTAGACATAAAAAAAACACATGATAAAAACATAAAACTGAGAAATATTTCAGTTAAAAATCTCTCATCGTTGTTACACAAAATGTATGCTAATGTTAAATATATGTTTTTTTTATCTAGACAAGCACAAATTGAAGAAAATCTGTATTAGTTTTATAACACAAACACGAAATAATGTATTCCCAAGGGTTTCAGAGAAGGATCAACTTAGCAGTCAGTCTGTCATCATGTCAGTTAGTTAGTCAGACATTAAAACAATGCCAGGTGTCATAAAAGTGTCTCTGGATTTAAATTTACTCAGAACGTGAGGGCGTATTAGTTTGAATGTTTTAGCACTGGATTAAAGGCAGATATTTTAATACTTTGTTGGTTAACAAGTACTTCCTATATGTGTACCTAATCAAAAACTACTTATGACTTTTCTAGCTCTAATTGAACTACAACCATTGCAACATTATAACGTAGCAAATTAATCAGAGAGTAGCAACGCGTGTGTTGCTCTCATTGCGGAAATATAACAACAGTATATTACCTTATTGTATATTGTTTTTCCGCTATTTTGTGTTGTTAACAATAGCAAAGCCAAAGCAACTGCTTAAGAAGAAATAACTAGGAAATATACGGAGCTTGTGTCAGTAACGTGAAAATAAAATAATCAAAATTGATCCATGGTCTTAAGGTCTAAAAGCTGTACTGCCATGGGTAGCTTTAAAAATATGTTAACACTTAAAATACTACGTTTATCCATTTTAAACGTACTGGTTATATCAAGTCCTAAAATTATATATTAAACATGATACAAGAGAATGTACAACCTATTTTATTCAACCATTTTGACTGAATGAAAAATATATAAACACAAACATAAACATTAAAAAACAATAACATAAACCATGTGTGTTAAGAAATCATATGTTGTTGACAAATCCTTATTAGGTTACATTTACATATTATGACTAGTATCATATATTATATGAATGTAACTAGTACGTTTAAAATGGATAAAAGTAGTATTTAAGTGGTTAAATATTATTTAATATTTGTTTATTTATAATTTATAATATGTAAATATTTAATAATATTTTTTTATCTATTTTACTACAAATTATGTTGTCGCAAACAGGACGACTTATCTAGCGTTAAAGATAAATATGTTTTACGAATGATGTAATATAAAAAATCGTATTACCTCAAATAAAAAAAACATCATGCATATCTTAAACATACCGTGCAGAACCCAAAAGGATAAGATTATCCTATTTTTATGGAAATAAATAATAAATGTAAATGACTGACTTAGGATTACAGCTTGTTCTCCATCTTGTAGTTGAGATAGCTGGTCACGTGATGGGTTGATTAGACAAGACAGAACCTGCTGAATGTGATTGTCCAGACCCAACTACGCTGCTAGACTTAATTAAACTATGTTCCCACAGCTGCAATGTGCAACCTGGGAATACCAAACCACGAAATGTTCATTTGTTGTTTCAGTGTGAGGCGTGGATGTTCAGATAATTAAGCTGACCAACTACGAATCTGGGCCAATCAGACCACCAGTAGTTTTACATTTTATTTTAAACATATTCTAACAAATCTTTGGTCTTGTTTCAAATATAAAACACGATAGTAAATTATAACTACAACACTTTTGGTACATTGTTTGTTGTTTTATGCATCAAAGTCTTTGATAGACTTTAAAATCTATTTGAAAATATCAATATCCGTCTTATAACACTTAAAACATATATTTACACTTGTACTGTTACTCACAAGACGTTAATTATACATAAAAGTTGGTAAATGGTGATCGATTTCGATTGGACACTCCAATCATCATCAGACCCAATAGGCAATGTATATCAATATTCTGCAATAGTTTATGTGATAGTGGGAGTTGCAGTCACTAGTTTAAATATGCGTGTTTTCATTCGTTTCGAATCACTAAGTATTAAAAACGCACAGTTATTTGGAGGGAAATTTATACGAAGAGAATGTCAAATGATGTTGAATGAACTCAATAGTTTGTCAATAACAAAAGACATTCGATGTTCTGTGAACTCTTAAGATGTGCTTGCTTTTTAATGATTTTATTTAATATCACGTATTCCTGAAATTCTATGGCGCAATAATTGTTATCGATGGCTTTAAAATGCGTAATGTTTTAAAGTAGTGTTAGTTGTTTTTGTATTTCCATACTGAGCCATATGACTCAATAGTTTGATTCATAATATTCACCCAAAATCTTTTATAATTGACTAAATGGTTAGTAATC